AATGAGAACCTTCACAGAAGAGACTGAAGACACAGAAGAAACCACAATGGGAGGAAACTTCTGATCTTAGTACATATGTCTTATGTGGAGGGGAACAAAAAAGAAAGAGTGGTTTGGCAGCAGGCAAGCAGGAGGGAGAGGGAGAATATAGAGAGCAAATAAGCTATAAAAAGATGCTCAACATCATATGTCATCAGAAAATTGCAAATTGAAACAATGAGATACCACCACACACTTATCAGAATTGCTAATCTCCAAAACACTGGTAATAGTAAATGTTAATGAGGATGTGGAGCAACAGAACACCCATTCAATGCTGGTGGGAAAAAAAAATGATACAGCCACTTTGGAAGAAAGTTTGGCAGTTCCTTACAAAATAAAATGTACTCCAACCACACAACTCAGAATATCATGCTCCTTGGTATTTACTCAAATGATTTGAAAACTTATATTCACACAAAAACCCACACACACTTTTATAACAGCTTTATACATCTAGGTTGAAAGCAACCTACATGTATAAAATACATCTAGGTTGCTTCCAACCTAGATGGTAAATGGGTATGAAAACTGTACTATGGACTAAACTGTGTTCCCCCTATCCTGACAAATCCATGTATTGAAGCCCTAACACCCAATATGACTGTATTCACAAATAAGGTCTTTAGGAGCTAAGTTAAATGAGGTAATAAGGGGTGTGGTCCTAATCTGATAGGACCATGGCCTTACAAGTAGAATGAACTGGACATAATTTTCTTATGTTCATATATGAATACATGACCAGTATAACTCCACATCATGTACAAACACAAGAATGGAAGTTATACTCCATGTATATATAATATGTGAAAATAAATTCTACTGTCATGTATAACTAAAAAGAACAAACAAAAAATAAAAAAAAAAATTCTCTCCCAATGACATGTGATAATGCATTAAAAAAGCAGCCATCTGGGCTGGGGTTGTGGCTCAGTGGCAGAGCGCTTGCCTCACACATGTTAGGCACTGGGTTCGATCCTCATAAAAAAATAAGCAAACAAGACAAAGATATTGTGTCCATGTATAACTAAAAAAATATTAAAGAAAAAAAAGGAAGTAGCCATCTACAACCGGAAGAGAGCCCTCACCAAAAGTGGAGCTTCCCATTTGGAACTTTCCAGCCTCTAGAACTGTGAGAAACCAAAATAATGTTGTTTAAACCACTCAGTCTATGATATTTTGTTATGGCAGCCTCACAGACTAATATAGTATGGAACTGATACACTACGATATTTACATACAATGTAAATTTAATCAGTGTGAAAAAATAAGGTATCAAGCCACAAGAGACAGGGAGGCACCTTAAATGCATACTGCTAAGTGAAAGAAGTCAATTTACAGAGGTTACTTACTTTACAATTCCAAATATATGACATTCTTCAAAAGGCAAAACTATGGAGACAGTGAAAAGATCAGTGGTTGGAAGGAGAACTTGGGAAGAGGGAACGGGAAAGAAATGAATAGGTGAAGCACAAGGAATTTGGGGGGCAGTAAAACTATTGTGTATGATATTGTAATGATGGTTACTTTCCTTTGGCCATCAAAACTCAAAGAATTAACCTTACATTAAGGTGCGCAGGTGTGGCAGCTCATGCCTATAATTCCAGCAACTCAGGAGGCTGAGGTAGGAGCATCATGAGTTCAAAGCCAGACTCAGCATTTAGCGAGGCACTTGCAACTCAGTGAGACCCTGTCTCTAAATAAAATTTAAAAAAAAAAATAAAGCTGGGGATGTGGCTCAGTGGTTAAGCACCCTAGAGTTCAATTTCAAGTACCAAAAAAAAAAAAACCTTAAGTTTAGAATTATTTAAGAGTGAAAGCAGTAAAACAGACACACACACACACACACACACACACACACACACAGTAAACCTTATGAACTTTAGTTAATATTAATGTGTCAATACTATTTTATTGTAGCAAAAGTGTTAATCTAATGCCAACATGTTACCAATAGGGAAATTTTATGGAGTAGGGAAGAACTATATGTGCTCAATTATTCTGTAAATCTAAAACTATACTAAAAAAGAAAAAAGACTCTAAAGTACTAGATAAAAATAACTGTGAAATTCAAATTTCAATTTACATCAAGTTTTATTAGAACATGGCCATTCTCGCTCATTTACAGATTGTTTGTTTTGTTACTCGGAATTGAATTCAGGGGCACTCAGCCACTGAGTCATACTCCTAGTCCTAATTTGTATTTTATTTAGAGACAGGGTCTCACCTAGTTGCTTAGCACCTCACTTTTTGCTGAGGCTGGCATTTACATTTTTTATGGCTGCTTTTATACAACAGCAACAGAGAGGAGTAGCTACAAGAGACTGCATGATCACAATTGCCTGAAATAATTACTATCTGAACCTTTTCAAAATGTTTGCAGACCTTTGCTCTTAATTTCATTACCCAGGTTAAAAGGAGCAGGGAGCACATTCCATCATGGGCTATTCTGAGATAATCACTTTATTTAATTTATTTAAAGTCCTTAGTCACAAGAAATAGAAATTATCTAATCGGACCTGATTTTTAAAAACCTATCTGGTTAGTTTTGTTTTGGCAAGGGATTGAACCCAGGATCACTTTGCCACTGAGCTACATTTCCAGCCCTTTCTTTCTTTTCTTTTACTTTTTTTTTTTTTTCAGATTCACATCAATTTTATTAGAACAAATTCTTTTTTTCTTTTCTTTTTTTTTTCTCACTAAATTGCTGAAGCTGTCCTCAAATTAGCAATCCTCCTACCTCAACCTCCCAAATTGCTGGGATTACAGGCATGTGCCACCACAACTGGCTTAGCTATATAGCTTCTAATATTTAAAAAAAAAATCAAGTATATCAGTAAAGCATTTGAACACCCAAACAACTCTCACAGAACAAATCCATATTTACTGAGAAACACTAGCAGATAGTAGTTTTATACTTGAGTGCTTGCAAAAATCTATCCCTTTAGTGAACACCTAAGAAATTAAAGTTTTCAAAGAAAAGGAATTTAAAAAGGGAAGCCTAGAAAACAACGGTAAGGAGAAGCACTCAGGGAGGGGAAGGGCAGGGTACTTAGGAGAAAAAAGTCATTCATCCAACAACAAAGAACTGAATGTTCCATTAAAGAATATTAGAACTAGGAGTCAGGAAAGTGGATTCTGGGTATTAGAACATAAAGTATAACATTAGGAAATATACCCCTAGTTATAGTTTAAGAAATATCATGAAAATATAATATGAACTAGCTGAGAAAACAAATCATAACTCTCTGACATACTGAAGTAGACTTGTTGATAAAAGGCATTGTAGGAAGAATCAAATTTGGAGAAAAAAAAAGTTAGGAAAGCAATATAGGATACAGACTAGGGGCATAAGCTTTCGAGGTAGAGAAGCCTGATTCTGATCCTGCTTCTACCACTCACTAGCTCTAAGTCTCTGAGCACAAATTCTCTCTCAGCCTCAGTTTCCTCATCTATAAAATAACAGTATCTCAGTAAACTATTGTAAGGATTAGATAAAATAATGCATATAAAGAGTTTAGGGGCTTGGGTTGTGGCTCAGAGGTACAGCATTGGCCTAGCATGTGTGAGGCACTGGGTTCAGTCCCCAGCACCACGTAAAGCAAAATAAAGACATCGGGTCCACCTATAACTAAAAAATAAATATTTTTTAAAAAGAGTTTAGTACAGTTCTGACAAAAATAAAGTGCTAAATAAATGGTAATTGTTAATGTAACTAATATATGTGGCTTGGGAAAATGCATTGAGAATAAACAGTTTTTCCAGAAATTGTTAGAAAATCTACCCAAAGACTGAAATAAAAATCTCTCATACAATAATTTTAAAGAATGTCTAAAAAAAAAAAATGTCTGCCATCAGAAAATTAAATGAGGACTTCGGTTCAATAAATGGAGTTGAAATTCCACTCACAGAGAACGTTGGTTCAAGGGAGAAAAACAAAATCAGTCTGGTTTTCTCCCAAATTCTAAAGTTGGTGAATGCTGTAGGCCCACTACAGATTCCATTCAGAGCCCTCATAATCCCAAATTCATACCAAAACCCAAGAGAGTATTACGTCTTGCAGTCAAATGGAGAATAAATAAGTCATGGTGGCTCGTGCCTATACTCCCAGTTACTTGGTAAGCTGAAGCCGGAAGATCCCACGTTCAAGGCCAGCCTGGGCAATTTAGCAAAATTCTGTCGGAAAATAAAATAAAAAGGGCTGGGGATGTGGCTCAGCGGTAGAGGGCTCCTGGGCTCAACCCCAGGTCGGGGTAAATAGAGGAGCTTCCTTTAAAGACTTACATGACAAAGCTACTTCTCTCTCATTCCCATTATGTTCCATTCCATACTTTCTGACCGTCAAAACCAAACAAAATATCCATACCAAAAAATTCAGACCTTTATCTGGAGAGCAGTTAGGACTGTATCAGTTTATAAATGTATTATCTAGGTAATCAGGGACTCGAGGTCAGGGGCTTGAGTGCTTTGCTTCTCTGTGAAGACAGACTAGAGCCCTAAAAGTAAAAGCTGCGAGATGAGAATTTTTTTGTTACATACACAGTTTTTCAGACACACCGCGCGGACGGACGGACACCCACACACACACACACACCACTACAATCATCACCCACATCCCACGGTCTGAGAAAACAGCTTACAGGCTTTCTGGCGGTCACAGCCATCCTGTCCCACGCTTCCTAATCGCCCTCAAAACCATCACCTGGTACTTCCCCAAAGGAAACAGTAAAATAAACGATAATAATTCCAGTCAAGACAACATTTTGCTCTCACTGTGGCCAAGATAGAAGCCGAACGGTTCTGCTCGACAATTCCAGGGCCATGGTCAGGGGCAACGAGTGGCCTCACTCCCAGGGCTAGGCTCATCCACACCTGTCACCAAGAGTGGGCGGAAGTAGGGAGGAAGAAATCGGTAAACGCGGACTCGAGCCACCCCTGATACATTCGCAGATCCCACTCACCCCACTCTTCATCTGGTCTGTGAGAGAGTCCTGGGCTAAAAGGCGACTCCATGGTGCCGGCAACACCAGCCGGCTCCCCGAAAACACAAGTTCCTGGGTCCTAGAACTCGGTGAGTAATATCTGTGACGGCGGCTGCAAGCGGACAAAATACTCCATACCGCTGACGAGACGGTGGCCGAATGAAGACAAACTTCCTAATGCGCTAGGGACTAGTAGGAAAGAGCCAAGAGAAAGTCAGCAAAGCTAAATAGGATCTCTGTGTAAATGTTTCTCTTTTGGAGTTTTAACATTTTCTGTTCCCCTATTTTAATGGGGGGGTGAGGGAGGTGAAGGCACGCAAATAGCTTCGGTTAAGTAAGTTGTATCAATAATATTAAAATTGAAATTTTGCAAAATTCCTTTCTGAACATACTGATTTGTTCTTTCTTATACCATACCCCATGTGTCTCAGAACAAAATTAGAGACTAACCATAAACGCAATTTAGTTTTTTCTTATAATTTTGTATTGATGTAAAAAATTCTCCATATGTAAAAGTGAATAAAAGAAAAGCACAACTATTTTTCCACATTCATTAGAACTGTCTCTACTGGCACAGTATCCGAGGTAAGCGACCCTATAAAAGTATACTTCTAGAAAGAATACCTTTATGTGAACAAATTAAAGCGAAGTAAATATACAAGATAAACTCCCATGCCTATAGTTATCTCCAAAAGATGAATTTCTAAAACTACTAGTAAAAGTCCGAGCCGAGCCTATACTAAAACCTGCAATAATGTAAGTTCTTAAACGTTTTATTACTAAAGTGTGAGATTCGGATTTTATTTAAAAGAAACCCACACACATCACGAACTCAAAATGAAAAAAATCAAACTGAATTTGATAGGACAGTTTCAAGAATGCTATTTAATAGTATTTCTTTTTCATCCCTAATTTCAGCCGCTAAAGTACTCTGTCTTAAGAACACGTATCCTTCTAGGACCAAGTGAAATCTTTCCCATGGTTACAAACAAAACAGAAAAGCTTCCCAGAATTCTCCCAACTCCTCGTGGCTGGATGTTACAACAGATTTCAGAAGACGATCAGCCCCGGGGCCCAGGCGGGGGTGGGGTGGGGTGTGGTGATTCAGGAAATACCACTCAAAAGTGACTCTTTCTGTCGTCATGTTACTAACAAGTTTTCATTTAAGGTAAAAATTATAACCCTTTCATTCTGGCACAGATGCACTTTTAAAAACTGGCATAAAAGCGGGGCGGATCATGAACTGAAATGGATTTCCATGCATGTTATGAGTTTGTCGGGATGAACCCAACTACTGTGTACAACTATAAAGCTTTAATTAAAAAATGGCATAAAAATAGTCTTCTGTATCCACCAATCAACTTAATCTTTGAAGAAAATCATAATTGAACTTCAAGCTTTTAAAGAGATTTTTATTTTTTATTCAAAAAGTTTAGGTAATCATGAGGCAAGCATTTCTGTACCTTTCACCAAGAATTAACAAATTTTAACATTTTTCATTTATGTCTCATTTCTTCATAGAAAATATTAAACATTACAGATAAGATTAAACTCTCCTCTACTTGAACTTCTTCCTTCCACATGGGCAACTTCCATCATAAATGTTATAGGAATCATTCTAGTACAATTTTATTTTTGCTTTTACCATGTTTAAATGTTTGTAAATACATACAGAGTCGTGGTTTTGTAAAATTTACACAAATGTATTATGCTCTAATGTTCTCCAAATCACTTTCTCATTTGACATACTTTTTGAGATTCTATCCATGTTTTAACTGTTATGTGGTATTTCCAAATACATATATATCTTTTTCCATTTCACTAATGATGGATACTGAGTTTTTTCAATTGTTTACTATTTATGTAAAATATATTTGTATGGATCTCGTTGTGCATTTTTACAAGAATTTTTTTAACATGTATGCTGGGTCACTTACCAAATAATACCAATTTACATCCTCACTATAAGTGATGAATTTTCTCTTTGCTCCACATTCTTACCAACACTAGATATGGCCAGACTTAACCATTTTTGCCACTGTGAAGGGTGGTACTATAATTTATATTTCCCTGACATTTTAAAAATGGTGTATTCTTTCATATTTATTAAACTTTATTTATTGTTCTGTGTCTGCCCACTATTTTATAAACTTTAATTATTGGGTTTTCTTTCCCTCAATGATGTGCAAATTTTTAGACAGCCTACTGTATTCATTTTATTTATATATACATACAATAATTTATATATATATATATACATATATTTATATATATTATTATGCCTTCTCCCAGATTGACACTTCTTTGTTTATGGGAGTTTTGTCCTCTAGATTTTAATGTAGATAAATTTATCAATCTCTTGATTATGATCTCCACTATTTATATCTAAGAAATTCTTTCCTCTCCCTAGGTCATAAAGGCTTTTATTTTCATTTTTCTTTTTATATTTTTATTATTCTGTTTTTCACACTTTCTTTTTTTCTATTCAATTATTATTGGAATATAGTAACACTGTTTAATTTTATATAACAATCTCATATCTAAAAACCTTAATTCTGGTATTCTAATATTTTATCTAGAAGTTCCTTAGAATTTTCCATTTAGAAGAACTTATATTACCAAACACCAACATTTAAAATTTATTTAACATTTGATTTTATAAAATAAACCTTTAATATGGAAATGTTAAAACACAAGAGACAATATAATTAATCCCCACGTTTCTGTCACCCAGTTTGAACAATCCACTATTCCCTATTTTATCTATCCTCCTTACATTTTTCATTTTGCCTTTTTTTCTCTTTTTTTGGCAGAGAATTTTAAAACAAATCTCACACATTTTATTTTATCAATAAATACTTTATTTTGTGTATCTCTAAAGAGAGAAAGCCTTTTCTTATTTTTCAAAAGAATAGTACCCAACAAAATCAACAATTCTACAATATCATCTAATACCTATTCCATGTTCAATTTTCTGTCTCAAAAATGCTTATTAACAGTTCGTTTGTTAAAAATCAGGATCCAGGGGCTGGGGCTGGGGCTCAGCAGTAGTGCACTTGCCTGGCATGCGTCAGGAGGCACTGGGTTCGATTCTCAGTACCACGTATAAATAAATAAAATAAAGGTCTATCAACAACTTAAAAAAAATTTTTTTTAAATCAGGATCCAAATGAGGTCATCACATTGCATTTATTTTATAAGACAGTTCCTTTTTGCTTTCTTCCCTCCATACCATTTGTTGAAGAATCAGAATCATTTGTCCTATAGAATTTCCCATTTTGTCATTCTGCTGATTGTATCTTCATGGTGATGCTTAATTCTTTCCTTGTCATTTGCACCTACAGACTTGGATAGTTTTTGCTTCAGTTTTTGTTTTTGCAATGACGCATCAAAGCTACTTTCTTGCATCATATCAGGAGGCATATACATACTGTCCCACTTTTAGAGATATCAAGATTTATCAGTGAGTTCAGAATCCCACCCTACCTCCCTTGTTTTATTATAATGACTAAGACCTCTACTAAATAATATTGAGGATAAGGGCAAGTGTAGGCATCTTTTGACTTGTTCCCAATTTTAATTGCATTTCATTTAAAAGTTTTGCCATTAATTTCTTTTCTGTATTTTTCATATACATTGACTACGGAAGCTTCCTTCCTTTCTAGTTATCAAGCTTTTTAAATTTTGTTTTAAGTTTTGAATGTTACTATTTTTCTTGAATCTATTCCCCATTCTCTTTCATCTTAAACCATTAGAACAGAAATGAAATTTGAAAAAGAACTTTTGTCTAGGGAAGTACCACTCTTTGATGTAACTAAGAGGAACCTCTGTCCTGTACCCATACTTTAGAGACTTAGCTGTAATTTGTGACTCTCTCCTCAGGGTAAAAATCCATGGTACCAAAGTATACACATACATACACACCAGCTCCTCATTATGCAGAACAAAGGATGGGGAGACAAGAGGCAGCCTGTGGATCAGAAGCTAACTCTTTGTATTGTAATGTTTAGTTATAGAACCCCATAAAATCAGAGAATTCAAAATTCAAACCTAGCACTCCAGGTTACTATGAAGATATTTGTCAAGAAAATAAGGGCTGGGACATCAATGTTTATAGCAGCACAATTCACAATAGCTAAACTGTGGAGCCAACCTAGATGTCCTTCAGTGGAGGAATGGATAAAAAAAAAAATGTGGCATTTATACACACTGGAATATTACTCAGCACTAAAAAAGAATAAGATCATGGCATTTGCAGGGAATTGGATGGCATTAGAGATTATGCTAAGTGAAGTTAGCCAATCTCAAAAAAAGAAATGCCAAATGTTTTCTCTGATATAAGAGGTGTGACTCAAAGTGGGGAGGGAGGAAGAGCATGGGAGGAAGATTACCTCTAGATAGGGAATAGTGGTGGGAGGGAAAAGGAGGGAGAAGGGGAATAGCAAGGATGGTGGAAGGAGATGGTCATCGTTATACAAAATACATGTATGAAGATGTGAATTGGTGTCAACATACCTTATATACAGAGATATGATAAATTGTGGTATAAAGGTGTATTATGAATTGTAATGCAAAAAATAAATAAGAGAGTTCATGTATAATGGCATAATTTGGCGTGAACATACTTTATAGAGTTACAAAAAACTGTGCTGTGAATGGATAATTATGAATGTAATGCATTCCACTATTGTCATGTATGTAAGAAATACATTTTAAAAAGAGAATGTAAAAGAAAAAGAAAATAAGGGATAGAGTTGTGGCTCAGGGGTGGAGCACTTGTCTAGCTTGAGTGAGGCACTGGGTTCGATCCTCAGCACCAGCTAAAAATAAAATAAAGGTATTATGTCCACCTACAATTGAAAAATAAATGCTTTTTTAAAAAAAGAAAACAATTTATGTTGAGTTAGATAGCTTGGTTTGTAACTTTAAAGTGTTAAGGCAAATAATATGTAAGCCTCAATTTTGTACTCTCATGGGAATTCTACAAATGTTGGTGGGAAGCCTGATGGGTGAATTTACAATTCAGTTAAAATTGCATTCCATCAGTCTACTAGATTTTATAATCCAATTTCCAGCATGACTTCTTTGAGACATGTACCACCCTGAACTGTGAACCTAGACATTAGAATATA